GTAAAAATTCCAACATTCTATCCAAGAGATCGCAATTCACTTTGTAGCCAGAAATCAATAAAATGGACTTTTTTGTTTGTTTTCCAGCTTTAAAATGAATTATTCATGGTTTTAAGTGAAAGGCCAAATTATCACTCCTATACCTAAGGATATTCTCTTCTCATAATTTGAAAATGAGATAGGTATAACTTAGACAAACCAGTTTTCAGAGCTTGCTCATAGAATTCGATTATTCTGTGTTTGGTGGTTTCTTTTAAATGTGGGGAACCTTCAACATTAGACATACTGATATTACCATAATCATAATCATCCATTATAAAACATAAACTCTTGTTTGGAACAAGAGAAGAGGTAGAGCATTTATTATTCTTTTTTACATTTTAGAACTTTGGACAGTACTGCACTTTGGATTCCAAAAAGATTTTGTTCCCTCTCAACAGCAGTCTGATGTAGAAAGCAGTTATACTTGGAAGCTTGGAAGGACTAAGGTGGATTCTGCCATAAACTTCAACTTTCTAGGGTCATTTTTAAATGTTTTTGGAAATACAACTTCAAACTCTAAATATGGCCTTTCAACAATTATTCAGGTGAAATAGCTGTATTTACACACCCTCTGCACCTCCCAAATGCCAAGACCATGGTCTGAGAGCTTCTTGCCCAAATAACTTGAGATTCAGGCAAGAGTTAACAGACTAATAAAAATCACTAAGGTAATTACCACCAAGCTTAATATAATTGGTAGGTTTAATCAGTTGTCCTAAAAGAGTTGCTACAAGTACAAAACCATTAACATCAGCCCTATATTGGAGAAATAAATCACATTTTGTAATGCTAATGTTTTCTGACAGGAGTAAAATCTACTTGCATAACTCCCTGAAGACTTGGTATTTGATAGGTGACTTGCTTAAAACAAGAGTAGAGGACCAAGAAAAGGGAGAATTATTTATTTAATGGCACCACATAACAAAATAAACTTCAGATGCATTTAAGGGTCAAATGGATTTTAAAATGTTAAATCCTGAAAAAACAATAGCCTCTCAAAGCTCTATGGAATACCATTTCCCGAAGTGTGTTCCGTGGACCACTGAATCACTGGATATTGAGAAATATTATGTGCAAAATTGGTTCCACTGTTGAATTCATGAGAGAAACATTGGATAAAGCAAACTTAGACATGTTTCTTTCATATTGTGGGACCAAAGATGGCAACATTTTCCATGTTTATTTGACTATGAAATAGTTTTTACCTTATGGCATACTATATTCTTGGAGTTTTGTGGAACAAACTTTGGGAAACATTGAAATGCAGAAAAGTCTAACTTCTTGAGTTTGAAACAGAGGTATAAATCACAAAGAAAACAGATTGAGAAATTCTATAGCATAGAAGTCTAAAATTATAAATTTTTTAAAAAATAAAATGTTAAGGGCTAGAAATTTGTCTGATCTTATCTGATGTACATTTTTAAAACATTTTCTGGCAATTGTTGATTGTCAAGAGAACGGACTGTAGGGGATTGTTATGGAAGCAGTGAGACAATAAGGCTGTGGCCATGATTTGGCCTAGGAGAGTAACACGGGAGTGATGTCAGGGTATGTGCTGGAGGTAGAATTGTTGCTGATGAATTAGAGTGAGGGGATCTGTGAGGGAAAGAAAGAATGAAAGGGTAACTCCTAGTGTTCTAATCTGGGCAGGTGGAAGGACATCAATGTCATTATTAGAAAGGGGGGGAATGGAGAAGGTCAGGGTGGTATCAACAGTTCTGCTGTAGGTATGCTACCATGTAAATGCCTATTAGACATCCAAGGGAGAATGAAGAGTAGGAAGGTGCATATATAACTTTTGAGCTCTGTGAAGAGTCAGAGATGGCTGCATAAATTTGAGAGTGAATAATCAGAAGCTGAAAATTGGGCTGACGATCTTGAGATGGAATGAGTTACCAGGGGAGGGTGAGGATAGAGAAGAGCCCTGAGGACCCAGCCCTGGGCACCCAGCAGTTAGCCTTCTGCCAGAGAGGGGGAACCAGCAAAGGAGACTGAGGGGGAGTGGGCCGTAGTGTTGGAGGGAAACAGGCAACAGAGATATTATGGTTGCCTACAGAGACATATTGAAAGGAGGAACAAGTGGTCAACAGTGCAACTCATTGCTGCAGAGAGAACGTAGGTTGGGGAGCAGATTTGTGGTGGAGAAAAGATGGTGCCTAGTTTCAGATTTTGTAGTAAGACGGAATCTTTTTATTGGAAATGATGGAAACCTAGCTAACTCGCTTATGCTAAAATAAGGTGGGGGAAAGGATATATCTACTCATGCAACCCTAAACATATAGTGGTGGGTAGCTTCTGGCACCACGAAATCCAGGGTGCAACCGATGCCATCAGTCTGAGTCTCTCTCCATCTTTCAAACACGGGCTGTCTTTGTGATAACCAAAAGAGCTGCCTGCAGCCCCAGCCCCACATCCTACATCTTAACAACTTCAGCAGAAATAGTCTTCCCACATGGTTCTGGCAGAGAGTCCCATAGGGTGCTGATTGACTGATGTTCCTCTTGAGCATATGCTTGAGAGGAATGGTTCACTCAAAAGGGCCAAGCCTAGGTCATGGACTCCTTCCTCTAGCAGGAGACAGAAGGGACAGCCCCATCCAAATGACCTGGATTGGATTCCCTGTATGATAATGAGGTTCTTTTCTCATAAAAAGTAAAGAAAAACAAGGTGGTGTGGCATACTACTCAATTCCAAAGATGATTTTTGCATAAACAATAAAAGGAGATAAAATTACATATTAGAATATCCATCACAATTTAACAGTGGGATTGTTTATGAAAATTTACCATTGTCTCTCAACCATCTAACTACTTCATTCCTACTTAAAATGACATAGAAATCATTCATCATATCTTTGGTATCTCACAGAACCCAGTAGATTCTATACATTTTTATAATATGTTTAAACCACTAAAATCTGTATGGTTTCTATATTGTAGGGGACATGCTGATATGGAGCCAGGTAGAAGGGAGCTCAAATCCTTACCTGGGCAGATTACTTAACCTCACTTTCCTCATGGGTGAAATGGGAAAACCATGGCAAGGAGGGAAGGTTAAATAAGATAGCAAGGAAACCACCTAGCAAACTAGTATTAATTATGATGAAAGGTTTATTTGGAATTACTGTAACTTTATGCCAACTAAATTTTTTTGTATTTATATGTAATCCCTACTTTCTAAAATCAGTTGCAAATAAATAATAATGATAATGTTTCCTAAGAAACAGTCTCTCTTTTTAGGGAAGTTTTAAAATGTTGTAATTTAATCAAAATAAAGATGATAAAATTAACTTTGTGTTGTGCTTTTTTTTTCCCCCCTGCCACTATAGTTTTTGTTTTGGTCCAGAAAAGAAGCTTTTCAAGCATGGCTTTAGCAGATAAGAGACTTGAGAACTTGCAGATCTACAAAGTTCTTCAATGTGTTCGGAACAAAGACAAGAAGCAGATAGAGAAGCTGACCAAGCTTGGATACCCTCAACTAATCAATTTCACAGACCCCATCGATGGACTCAGTGCTCTGCACTTGGCCTCAGTTTCCAATGACATCGATATGGTCAGCTTTCTCCTTGAGCTGGGTGCTCACCCTGATGTGCAAGACCGGATGGGCTGTACTCCCACAATGAGGGCTGCAGAACTGGGCCATGAACTGTCAATGGAAATATTAGCCAAGGCAAAGGCGGATATGACTATAGTTGATAATGAAGGAAAAGGTAAAAATTCCAACATTCTATCCAAGAGATCGCAATTCACTTTGTAGCCAGAAATCAATAAAATGGACTTTTTTGTTTGTTTTCCAGCTTTAAAAGTGAATTATTCATGGTTTTAAGTGAAAGGCCAAATTATCACTCCTATACCTAAGGATATTCTCTTCTCATAATTTGAAAATGAGATAGGTATAACTTAGACAAACCAGTTTTCAGAGCTTGCTCATAGAATTCGATTATTCTGTGTTTGGTGGTTTCTTTTAAATGTGGGGAACCTTCAACATTAGACATACTGATATTACCATAATCATAATCATCCATTATAAAACATAAACTCTTGTTTGGAACAAGAGAAGAGGTAGAGCATTTATTATTCTTTTTTACATTTTAGAACTTTGGACAGTACTGCACTTTGGATTCCAAAAAGATTTTGTTCCCTCTCAACAGCAGTCTGATGTAGAAAGCAGTTATACTTGGAAGCTTGGAAGGACTAAGGTGGATTCTGCCATAAACTTCAACTTTCTAGGGTCATTTTTAAATGTTTTTGGAAATACAACTTCAAACTCTAAATATGGCCTTTCAACAATTATTCAGGTGAAATAGCTGTATTTACACACCCTCTGCACCTCCCAAATGCCAAGACCATGGTCTGAGAGCTTCTTGCCCAAATAACTTGAGATTCAGGCAAGAGTTAACAGACTAATAAAAATCACTAAGGTAATTACCACCAAGCTTAATATAATTGGTAGGTTTAATCAGTTGTCCTAAAAGAGTTGCTACAAGTACAAAACCATTAACATCAGCCCTATATTGGAGAAATAAATCACATTTTGTAATGCTAATGTTTTCTGACAGGAGTAAAATCTACTTGCATAACTCCCTGAAGACTTGGTATTTGATAGGTGACTTGCTTAAAACAAGAGTAGAGGACCAAGAAAAGGGAGAATTATTTATTTAATGGCACCACATAACAAAATAAACTTCAGATGCATTTAAGGGTCAAATGGATTTTAAAATGTTAAATCCTGAAAAAACAATAGCCTCTCAAAGCTCTATGGAATACCATTTCCCGAAGTGTGTTCCGTGGACCACTGAATCACTGGATATTGAGAAATATTATGTGCAAAATTGGTTCCACTGTTGAATTCATGAGAGAAACATTGGATAAAGCAAACTTAGACATGTTTCTTTCATATTGTGGGACCAAAGATGGCAACATTTTCCATGTTTATTTGACTATGAAATAGTTTTTACCTTATGGCATACTATATTCTTGGAGTTTTGTGGAACAAACTTTGGGAAACATTGAAATGCAGAAAAGTCTAACTTCTTGAGTTTGAAACAGAGGTATAAATCACAAAGAAAACAGATTGAGAAATTCTATAGCATAGAAGTCTAAAATTATAAATTTTTTAAAAAATAAAATTGGAAATAAGATCAAATAAATATTTGTAGCAAATGCAACAGCTGTATGGTTAATATCTATGCTCATGCAAATTGATAGTAAACCTATCAAGGTTCTGGAAGATGAATGTTTGAGAAAACAATTAGACAGATCACATGAGAAGAACTGAAAATATAAAACAAAACTTGAAACAAATATAAAATCTTGTTTCACACATAACCTGATATCTTGTTCCTCTGCAGCCCATGGTATGCCCACTGCAGGACATTGTCTCTTCCCCACATCCTTGAGCCTGGCTTACCTCGCACAGTCCTCAGTTTGGCTGCCACTGGGTAAACTGCTTCGCTTACTCCACAGTAGTCTCTCTGCCACTAACATCCTATTTTCTGGTGGCTGATATTGATAAGCAAACATTTAAATGGATCTTTAGAAGGATGTGAGACATGCTAGGCCTAAGCTATACTTTCTCTTTGAACAACATTCCAAAGTATGGAGAAGGTGAAGCTCTAAGTCAATATGCTCTTTCCTGTAAGTTGTCCTAAGGGATTTACAGTGTCTGAAATTATTGTCCTTAAGAGTTAAGCCAGACTAGTTCCTTATAGCACCTATTTCCCATTGTCATTGTTGTTTTGGTCCATTATTACATGTTATGTCTTGCTCTGTCCTTGGTTTTCTATTTTTCTTTTTGTTTTATTGCAAAATTTTAAGGGGGTACAAATGTTTTTGTTATATGGATCGCGTCTGTAATGCTCGAGTCTCGAGTCACAACTATCAGTGTGCCCGTCTCCCAAATAGTGTTCATTGTACCCATTAGGTAGGTTTTTGCCTCTCCCCCCCTCCTTCCTCCCCTTGATTGATTTCCTCTGAGTTTTACTTCCCTCTGTGCACATGTGTGCCCATCGGTTAGTTCCAATTTAATAGTGAGTACATATGGTGTTTGTTTTTCCATTCTTGAGATACTTCACTTAGGAGAATGGTCTCCAGTTCCATCTAGATTGTTGCAAAAGGTATTAACTCATCTTTTTTATGGCTGAGCAGTACTCCATGGTATACATATACAACATTTTATTAATCTACTCATGAATTGATGGGCACTTCAGTTGATTCCACATCTTTGCGATTGTGAATTATGCTGCTATAAACATTGGAGTGCAGGTGTCTTCTTGATGAAAAGTCTCCTTTTCCTTTGGATAGATACCCAATAGTGGTATTGCTGGATCAAAGGGTAGGTCTACTTTTAGTCTTTGAGGAATCTCCATACTGTTTTCCATATGGGTTGTACTATTAATAATTTGCAATCCCATCAACAGTGTGTAAATGTTTCTTTCTGTCTGCATCCATGCCAGCATCTATTGATTTTGGACTTTTTAACTAAAGCCATTCTATAATAATTGGGGTAAGATGATATCTCATTGTGGTTTTAATTTCCATTTCCCTGGTGATTAGTGACATTGAGCATTTTTTTGCATGTTTATTGGCCATTTGTCTTTCTTCTTTTGAGGCTTCTATTAATGTCTTTTGCCCACTTTTTAATAGGGTTATTTGTTTCTTTCTTGCTGATTTGCTTGAGTTCTTTGTAAATTCTTGGTATTAGCCCTTTATCAGATGTATAGCTTGTGAATATTTTCTCCCATTCTGTACATTGTCTGATTGCTCTGTTGATCATTTTCTTAGCTGAGTAGAAGCTTTTTAGTTTAATCAAATCCCATTTATTAATTTTTGTTGTTGCCATGATTGCCACTGGAATCTTAGTTGTAAGTTCTTTGCCTAGACTGATATCTAGCATGGAAAACCTATTTGAGGAAATTATTGAGAAAAACTTCCCTGGTATTGCCAGAAATTCAGACATACAGATACAAGATGGACATCAAACACTGGGAAGATTCATAGCAAATAGGTCATCTCCAAGACACATAGTAATCAACCTGTCCAGAGTCAAAATGAAGGAGAAAATTCTGCAAGCAGCAAGATATAAGCATCAAATCACCTACAAAGGAAAATCCACCAGGCGAACTGCAGACTTCTCAGTGGAAACTTTACAAGCCAAAAAGGATAGGGGCCCCATCTTCAATCGAATTAAACAGAACAAATGATAGTCTAGAATTTTGTATCCTGCAAAACTGTTTCATAATCAATGGAGAAATTAAGTCTTTCCAGACAAGCAAACACTGAGTGAATTTACTATGACCAAACCTGCCTTGCATGAAATACTCAGAACAATATTATACACAAATCAGCACAAGAACACACCAGTGTAAAATCATCTTTAAAAAAACCCCAAAACTCACAACTCTTATAAAACAACAGAACGAGAGGTAAAACAAAGCAATAAGGGACTACTCAACAGGGTAAACAGATCAACATCCCACATATCAATGTTATCAGTTAACGTTAACGGACTGAATGCTCTCTCAAAAGACATAGGTTGACTGAATGGATGAAAAAACACAGCCCAGTTATCTGCTTTCTCTAGGAAATACATCTAAACCACAGGAAGCACATGGACTCAACATGAAAGGATGGAAAAATATTCCATGCAAATGGAAATCTAAAGAAAGCAGGTATAGCCATTCTTATATCAGATAAAATTGACTTTAAGCCAACAAAGATAAAGAAAAAGAGGGTCATTATATAATGGTAAAGGGAGCAATTCAACAAGAAGACATAGTAATCCTAAATATATATGTTGCAGCACAGGAGCTCCAAGATTCATAAAGCAGATTTTACTAAAGCTAAGCAAAGAAATAAATAGCACCATCGTAACTACCAGAGACCTCAACACCCCATAGTCAGAGCTTGACAAATCAATCATCAAAGCAGAAAATAAATAAACAATGGACTTAAACCAAACTCTAAATCAATGTATCTAACAGATATTTACAGAACGTTCTACCCCAAAACTACAGAATACACATTCTTCTCAGCATCACATGGGACATTTTCCAAGATTGATCATATCTTAGACCACAAAACAAGTCTCAACGAATTCAAAAAAATTGAAACCATACTATGTACCTTCTCAAACCACAGTGGAATAAAACTAGATATCAATCCTAAGGGAAACATTCAAACCTACACAAAGTAATGGAAATTAAACAACCTGCTGCTGAACGATTATTGGGTCAAGAATGAAATTAAGATGGAAGTCAAAAAATTCTTTGAACTTAATGACAAAGAGAGGACACAAGCTATCAAAATCTATGGGACACAGCAAAAGCATTCTTCGGAGGAAAATTCACAGCCTTAAATGCCAACATCAAAAAGACAGAAAGATCACAAATTAACAACCTCATTTCACCCCTTAAGGAACTTGAAAAGGAAGAACAAACCAAATCCAAAGCCAGCAGAAGAAAAGAAATAACGAAGGTGAGAGCAAAACTAAATTAGTTGGAAAACAAAAAACAATACAAAGGATTAACAAAACAAAAAGTTGGTTCTTTGAAAAGATAAATAAAATTGACAGATCTCTTGCTAGATTAACCAAGAACAGAAGAGAAAGGACCCAAATTAGCTCAATCAGAAATGAAAAAGGTGACATTACAACTGATACCACAGAAATACAAAACATTATCCATGAATACTATGTAAATCTCTATGCACATAACCTAGAGAATGTAGAGGAAATGGACAAGTTCCTGGAAACACACAAACTCCCAAGTCTCAATCAGGAAGAAATAGAACTCCCGAACAGGCCAATAGCTAATAGATCAAAACCGTAATAAAAATTCTGTCAACAAAAGAAGCCCTGGACTAGATGGATTCACACCCAAATTCTATCAGACCTACAAAGAAGACCTGGTACCCATAATACAGAAATTATTCTGTAATATTGAAAAGGAGGGAATCCTCCTGAACTCATTCTATGAAGCCAGTATCACCTTGATATCAAACTCAGGAAAGGACACAAGAAAAAAAGAAAACTACTGACCAATATCCCTTATGAATATAGACGCAAAAATCTTCAATAAAATAGCAAACTGAATTCAACAGCACACAAAAATAATAAT